ATTTTCACTTCCTAAAAACGTGACAAGAAGGGAGTTGGGGGGTTAGGAAAACCGTGGGAGCTTCTCCTTGGCTTCCTGTCACAGCTGTTGATGGCTTAAGAGTGTCACTAGAGGGGCACCTGGGTGGCTCAGTTGGTTGGGTGTCTGACTTCGGCTCAGGTCACGATCTCACGGTTCGTGGGTTCGAGCCTCGCGTCGGGCTCTGTGCTGACAGCTTAGAGCCTGGAGCCTGCTTCGGATTCTGTGTCTCCCTCTCTCTCTGACCCTCCCCTACTCACGCTGTCTCTCTCTCTCTCTCTCTCTCTCAGAAATAAATGAAACATTAAAAAAAAAGTCACTAGAAGGCCCAAGAATAGTTGCTATGAAAGAAAAGCAGGCCTTGCATTTCGGGCGTTTCTCTGTTGTGACAGGCAGCGCCCTGGAGGAGAGGCTATGTGGAAGTTCTGTCCCTGGAGCAGAGGTCGGGTCAGTGTAGCAAAGGTTTATGTGGGAAGTTTTGAGGTGTGTCCCCTAGGGAGCCATGCACGGCCCCACCTCCCTCCCTACTTCCCTTCACGTGCTGTAGCAGAATTTTCTATCAGCCAGCCTGCCAGAGGGGAGGAGGAATCAAAATATTTGAATGGCTGGGGAAGGGAAGGGAAAGGGACCCTACCCACCCAACTTTGGGGTAAACACCAGCCTGGACAGATGGCTCTTAGTTGAAGACTGAACAAAGAGAGCCAGTAAAGTTTCTGAAAGACTGCAACATAGATGGAGAACACAGTATCTAAGAGGCAGAGGAAGAAATGGATCTTCTATAGGAAAACGAACACTTGGGATAACAGTTTGCTTTGTGCTTTCCACTGAGTGCAAGGAAGTCACGAAACAAAGTGAGCAGTGAAAGCAAACGCTGTGAATGAACGCTGGAGGGAGAAAATGGAGCAAGGGGAAGACGTTTAAAATGCTGCTGACCGAGTCTCTGGGCAGAAAGGCAAAGAAAGGGAGCTGGCCGAGGAGGAAGAAATGTGAGGAAACTCAGAAATGCATTATTCATAGTGAAAAAAACTGTGGCACCTGGAGAAAATGAGATGAATGATGGAAAAGGCAAACCTGAGAAAATGCTCCCAAATTGCAGAGTTAGAAGGTCGGCTGTAAGAGCCCCAAGAATAGGGGTCTTGGGTTCAAGCACCACATTGGGCCGTAGAGATTACTTAAAAATAAAATCTTAAAAAAAAAATGCGCACTGAGATTGGTAATGAAAGGCCAGACAGATACCGATACTTATTCCTAAAGAGTTGGAAGCTCGATTAAAAGCAGCCATATAATTAAGCAAAGCATAAAGAAATAATAAAAACAAACCCAACCTTCTCGACTATAAAAAGACACAGACCCGAAGATTAAATGCTTACCGTGTACCAGAGAAAATGACAAAAAAAGAGACCCGTAATTTGATATATTTGGGCAATTTTTTGGTTACCTTCAAAGATAAGGCAAATTAGTTGACCCCCCACAGAAGAAGTTGACATCAGAATTCTCTGCAACGTTGAATACCAGAACACAATGAAGCAGGGTCTGTGTTTTAGGGGAAAATGTTTAGGACCCAGAAATTCTAGACCCAGCCGAGGTGTTACTCACTAAGGAACGTAGCAGAAAGATGTTCTCAGATATGTAATTTCTCATAAGCGTAATTCCCATGCTTTCCCTGAGGAAGTTGTTTGAAGATGTGCTCCAGCCAATTGTAAAACAAATTAAACAGTTTAACCATTGGGAACACATGAAATAAAAGGATTAGTGGTGAGCAATGGAAACAGCCTTACAATTATAAAATATAAATAAAGGTCAAGGCTTAATGTAAGCATTTTAAATGTTTATTGAAAGATAAAATCAAAATAAACAATAATGAAATGAGCCCCCAATACAATATGGGGCTCTACATACAATACATTACTTTGCTCTATTTTTGTGGCTTTCTGTAGGCCATTAGCTTTTGGAATTAAAACTTCCAACTGAAAATTCTTTCAAAATTAAAAAAAAAAAATACAGTAAAATAAAATCTCCCTCAGTCAAGAGGGGGAAAACAAAAAGCTTTAGATCATCTTTCTCTAAGACCTCTACTTGTTCATTCTTTAGCTTTGCTTATAAAAACACATACCGTGTTTCCAGCTATGTTACTTAAAAAAAAAACACCCTAAAATTAATTTTCCATAGCTATATGATGATAGTTACCTTACAGGAAAGACCTTAACAGTGGGTTCTAGGTAGTGGAAATCCCCTGCACTCCTTTCTGTTAATGTTTTTGTAATTCATCCTGTATTACTTTGTAAAGCAGGAAAGCGAACTACATGAAAATGGACAATCCTACAGACAAAGGTATCATCACAGGCAAAGTTATGCTACCGAATACCTCATTCTTCCCCCCTCCCCCCAATTAAAAACAAACTAAGCATTTAGCTTAAGGCATTTAACTTAAGTCTGCTTAAGAAAAGCAGACTAAAACAGACCATCCAAAAAAAGGATTTTATAACTCAGTACATAGAATAGATCCTGATAAAAAGTCTAAGAGTTGATTCCTTAAAACAAACAACAGAATCAACAAACTTCTAGGCGGTTTGCTCACGACAGCGAACCAAGATACACAAAATAATGAATGTACTTAAAGCACAGATTTGGAGCGAGTGAAATGTCTAGCTTATGCCAATTATGAAGTGAAGTGAATGGCCTAGTAAATAGTAATTAGCAAAACAGACCGAAGGGACTGACCAGTAACTATGGCGATACCAGAGAAAACTGGAGAAAGCTCCACTTGTTAAAAGCGACCGTCTCTGTTTTACCCCACTTCATGCTCCGCAGTGGTCTCGAACATTCTGTAATAAGCAGGTGCTAATTTTGAAACCAGAGAGGCCCTGTGACTCCGGGCTGACCGAAGGCCCAGGGACCGCTGACAGCAAATTGAATTTCTAGCTCGCCGGCTGCCTTCATGGCTCTCTGAAGCCTCTAGAATGTGCAAGGAGACACACCAATTTTGACATGCTGTGCAAACGTACGAATGCTAATCATTCTTTGGGGTTCAGTGGCGTATCAGTCACTAGAAAGGTATTTACAGAGTGGCCCAGATTCTGTACCTCGGGATCACGAGGTTCGGTTTTATTTTTAACCAGTGACAGGAAGAGATGAAGTGTTCTTTACTACATTCATGAATTAAAGTAAAGAGAGATTGTGGTTTTTTCTTCAGGCCACTTTGGATGTACTGCACTCAGAAAAAAAAAAACAAAAAACAAACCAAACTACACGGTTTACTCCCATTCCTGAAGACATAAAGCTGAATTACGGCAACGCTTTCTCCCATGTGTGAGAAACACTGCAGACCGTAGTCTGTGCATTTGCCATAAAAATGTAGAGGGAGAGGATCAGGTAAGGAAAACATTTTCTCCATATAAAAAGGAGACCCTCCCTTTTTGGAGAGAAAAATTAATGGCTAGACGTATATGTCTTTTCTCTCTCTTTTGTGGGACGTGTACTTATACATGCAATTGTTTGTTCACACCCAGTTTGAAAATGCCCGCTTGCTAGTATCGCTTTGCCAGGGCCAGATCGATGGCATTTTGTGTTTTGTTCTCCATGGATCTTAGGGATGTGAAAGAGGATGTGAGGGGTAAAGATAAGTACACAATGTGGTAAGGGGACTGCAGCAGCCAAAGTGTGTGACTGAGGGGTTTCCCAAACTTGGCGTCCCCAAGAACTTGAGCTTGCTGAGCTGTGTCTCGAATTAATCCAACCAATCTGGACGTAACCTTGAGAAACGCCCTCGTGGGGATTTGTGGCTCACATCAGTTTATCAAAGGCCATGTGAGATCCCCCACGTAAAAAAAAAAATATATATATATATGCGGAATTTGTACAACTCCGTATTTCCCCCAAGATGTGTGTCTGTGCAACCGTCTTCTCCACAGTCCTTTATAAGAAGCTCGGGGCTCCTGTGGGTTGACGGACACACGTTATGCAGTGTCTCTTTACAGTGCGCTTGAAATGGGGGAATGAAAAACCTTCTTGCCTCAAAAACCCTGGCTTTGTGCTTGAAGGCTTTTGGTCTTGAAGATGGAATCAACTTGCACGTTTGACACTGAAACTTCTTTTGTTCTCCTAAAGGAAAGCACTTAATAGCTTTCTTCCACTTCCATTTCCTCCTCCTTCTCAAAAGACTGAATCCCCAGCAAAGGAAGGGGGGGGAAACTATGATACACTCGGGGTTATTTACAGGATATGAACTATCTGGAGGCCCTCTAAACAGCAGGATGTTCCTGCCCTTTGATTCTTCTGCCTTGGCTTTTAAAGAGCGTGCTCGAGATGGTGGTTTATTTCTCTGCACGCTCCCTACTATCTGTCATCCCCCATCTCCCCCTGCCTAAATACTGTGACATCAGTCATCGCATCCTGGGAGACCTTAACTCCTCTGTTAACTCATATCTTTGCTGGGGACCTGCGCTGTTCCGGTCACTGTCCTAATCAAAAAGGGTATATGTACAAGGGGTGTGTTCACCGGGTGTGAACAAGACCGGCAAGCCAGTAAACCTAGTGGGGAAGATAACCAATGAACACACAGGTAGACTAAGACCGCTGTCCAGCCTGTGCCGGTGGGGGGGGGATGGCAAAGCCAAACGATAAGCTGGGGAGTCGTTCTCCTCCCAGGTGAGGGGAGCAGTCTATATTTGGTGGTCAGGGAGGGCTTCTCTGTGGAGGAGACTTTTGAGCCAAGAACCAGATGGTGAGGGGCCCGCCGAGTTCTCTGGATCCAGATAAAAGGACACACGGGGACCTAGAGAAGCCTGGCGGACACTGGGGCCTATTTTCAATCAGGTCGGGTTTTGAGAATAACAGAAGTCTTGCGTTTTTAAAATGGCACTTCTCGGGCCGCCTGGGTGGCTCAGTGTGCTAAACGTCCGACTCCTGACTTTGGCTCAGGTTGTGACCTCCTGGTGCGTTGAGGCCAAGCCCCGTGTTGGGCTCTGCGCCGACTTGGGACTCCCTCTCTCCCTCTGGCCCTCCCCCACTCGCTTGCCCTCAAAAACAAATAAGCCTAAAAATATATACATAACATGGCCCTTCTTCTCCAATAATGGGACTCCTGGATTTAGGCGTGTGTTTTGGCTGGCCGAGCTAAATTTCAGAACTCCAGTATGTCCCTGAAAAAGTGTCACGGGGAGGATGGCTGCTTGCCAAGTGAGCAGGTGAAGTTCTTCTTGGTTTCTGTTGTTCAGGAGAACAGATTTCTAAGTGATATATACAGTTGGGCCTTGTTAACAGTAGCTGCTATTAACATACGGGTTATGGGAAGAGCTTTGGAATTCTACAAGCATCGGGAGTTCAGTTCGGATCTGAAACTCATCTTGGCGTTCTTCGAACATTCAGCCGACTTCTGGCTCCCGTCGTTCTAAGCACCTCCACAGAGAGCCCCCCCCCCCCATGGCCCATTCTGCCTATTAGCAGCCTAATTTTTACCTAAACCCATTGCCTTGGGAGATGAAATGCTGGTGTTGGCTTATCTTTAGAAATGAGAGGATAAGAATAAAACTTAAAAAACAAAAAAAGACTTAAGGCTCACAGTCACTGATGGATCAACTTAAACCGTATGGGTTATAGAATGCCTATATAACAACTACAGTTTTGGGAATCCACAGAAGAAATTACCTTGTTTTGTTCTGTGTTTTTTAAAGACAAGTAGGAGGGTGACTTTATGCCCGGACCACTCGAAACCCGAGGCTGCAGAGAACAGGCAGTTGGATTTCGCCAACTTGTACCCCATGGAATGCTTGTTTTTCTTACTGACTGTCCAGGAGCAATCTGGCCACGAGGAAGAACCCTGGTAAATAACATCGGGGGGGGGGGTAAATAACCCCCCTCGACCCCTCCTGCCGTTCTTCTGCACCCCCATCCTACCAGTCACAAGGCGAAGTCTTTCAAGAGGTTTTGAAGCAAACAGCCCGTTGTGGTCTTTTGTTTCTGTTCCAGGGGGCTTCGGGAACACACCCTTGATCTCGGGACACAGGCAGAGTTCCAATCAATCAAGTCTGTGCTGTCAGGCCGCTGGTCTCCCTTTGCCACAAGACGCCTGACTCCTTCCTCCCTCTTGGCTTAAATATTGTAGAGATAGTTGGTGTTCTCGCACAAGGTGGCCAGCATCTGGGAGAGTGGCTGACCTTTGATCCTGGCAATCTCTCGCACCGTGTACAGGGCCAGGCCCGGGTGGGAGTACTGGCAAAGGCTCTTGGGAACCTCATGGGGAAGGAAGTAGGGTGCATCCGTTTCCACGAGGATTCTGTCCAAGGGGATACTTCTGAGTGTATTCCGGGTCTCCCAGGCAGAAGAGTAAGTCAGGAGGGCTGTGAACCCCACGGACATGTTAGTAAAGTAGTTCATGAGGGGCTCAATGCGCAGGTAACTGCCAGTTAAACAGTGTCTGTGGATCCTGTAGTCGGGGGGCACGTGTCTTTTCATGATGCTCAGCAGATCGTCGTCGGCCTCCCTGCAGTGGATCACCAAGGGCTTGTTGAGCGACACGGCCAGCTGCAGCTGGCGCTCAAATACCTTGTGCTGCTGTTGCACCGGCGTGGTGCACTTGTAAGAGTAATCCAAGCCCACTTCTCCGAACGCCAGGGCCCTGGGGTGCCGCAAGGCTTGCAGGATGTTTCGTTCCTGGATCTCATTGTAGTAACGTGCGAAGTGGGGGTGACAGCCAAAGGCGCCCCAGACCAAGTCCTCTTTCAGCAGCTCTTGCCACATGCCGTCCTTGAGCGTGCGCGGATCGCAGAAATTCGAGATGCAGCCCTGAAACTCCTTCGGGAACGAGTGGCTGTACGTCTCCATGAACTTGCTGAAGGTCCCTTTGAAGGACAGCTTGGAGAAGAGCAAGTCTAGGTGACAGTGGGTGTCGATGAACCCCAGCCTTCCGTGCCAGGGGCTCCTGGTCAGGGAGCCAGCCTCGCAGCTCGGGCAAGAATGCACCAGCGTCTCCCTGAGGGCTGCCATTCTCTCCCCGCTGGGGGCTGAGCCCCTGGGGAAACGGATCACGTGGGAATTCAGGGACTGGTCCTCTTCCGATGGCTTCCAGACTCTGGGCCAGTTCTGGGGGTGCAGCTCCGGCACGGGGGGATGCTCCCCGGAAGCACCCCAGCTCTTGGCGGCCTGGGCCGCGGGGCCGCTGTTGCCCCCGGGGGGATAGTGGACCAGCTGGAGAATGCTGCCCCAGTGGCCGGTGGGGGGGGGCGGAGGACCCCTTTGCAAGGGGGGCTGGAACAGGACACGGTCTGTGGTGACAGGTGGAGGCTGGGGGGGTCTGGAGAGACCCAGTGACACCGGCCTCTCAGAGATCTTCATGGCAGCCAGCTCCTCCACGGCGGCGAAGTGGCCCTCTGAAGAGGGGCGCTCGGCCTCCGTCTCGGCCCCCGTGTCTGTCGCTTTCTGCTCCTGGATCTCTGAAGGAGGGTCCTGCTTCTCTGGAAATCGCAGGACTGGGGAGCCCTTTTCAAACTTCTGGTCGTCCAGGAGCTTCTTGCTGGGTTTCTCTTGAGCGCGGAGGATCACTTTCCTGCTGCCTGAACTGTTGATCTCTATCAGCATCTTCTTCCCCTCCTCCCTAACCGAGGGGTCTGCCGCCTGCGTCTTCCTGAAGGTGACACTGGCTGGGGTTTCAGTGGTGGGGGGGCGCTCGGGTGGGCTCAGTTTTGCTGCACTTGGGGCAGCCTCCCCTTTAGGTATGAATTTTCCCAGGATGCTCTGGAAAGCCTTGACATAGTTGGAAGGGCTCGGATCGTGCGGCGCAGCGCTCTTTTTCTTGCCCCCGTGGGATTCCTCGGCCCCCCCTGGTTGTCCCTCGGCCCAGGCTGCAGGTTCGGAGTCTGCAGAGCTCTGGGCAGGGGTCTCAGCCTCACAGCAGTAGGCGTCCTCCAGGGAAGCCATTTCTTCCTGTAAGTGTTAAACGACAGTGCCGACGGGCTGAGGCCGAGGGGATGCCACCGACCCAAGGAGCCCCGAGTGGGAATCAGTCTTTAAAGGCTCCGCCCACACCTGGTGCGAAGGAAGGGCGCGGGGGTGCGGAGGACTTGGCCTGGCCAGGCCGCGCCCGGGGAAAGCGCCGCAAGGCCTTTTTCTGTGCTCTCAGGCACTTGCAGGGCGCTGGCCTCTGCAGAACGTGACGCGCGGTTACGAAGTGGCCCGTTGGAGGGGCCGCGTCAATGAGCCCCTAGGGGCATCGGCCTCTACCGTGGCGGAGGGGGGAGGGGCCCCTACCTGAATGCCGCTCTGGCCGCTTTGGGGCCTTGCCCAGTTCTTTCAGCAGCCCATCACGGTTCCGAGTGTTCAGAGATGACCCAAGTTCGGCAGCGGCTTGTGATTCCAAAGCGCTCCGGGACAACAGCGATTGAAGGTTTCGTGAAGGTCACGTCCGGTCTGGGGTTCCGGCAGCGCTGCGTGCTGCTGCCGAGGTTACTGCACGCTTGCTTTTTCGCTACTTTCGGGGTCGTGGAGCTCTTCTATTTGGGTTGGAGCAGGAGGCTCGTCGGAGATCTCAAACCCCTGAAAAGACCACAGGGGGCTTCAGGGACCACGCACAGGGCGTGTCAGAGCTGCGCTGGGGGCCCAGAAGCCCAGGCCACCGAAGGTCTGGCTAGGTACGAACCCAGCACTGGAGGGGACGTGGAGGCTCCGCCCACCCACTAGCCTTGGCCCCCGGAAGTACTCAACCCCCACAAAGCTCCCCCCACCCACTAGCCTTTGCCCCCGGAAGTACTCCCTCAACAAGGCTCCACCCACCCACCAGCCTTGGCCCCTGGAAGCACTCACACTCCCTAACAGCTCCCCCACCCACTCATTATCCTTGGCCCCTGGAAGTACTCACCCCCTCAGCAAGGCTCCCCCCACCCGCTAGCCTTGGCCCTCGTAAGTACTCATCCAGGCAACAAGGCTCCCGTGCCCGCTAGCTTTGGCCCTTGGAAGTACTCACCCCCTCAGCAAGGCTCCTCCGGCCCACTGGCTTTGACCCCCGGAAGTACGCACCCCTCCAACAAGGCTCCACCCCCCCACTAGCCTCGGCCCCAGGAAGTACTCATCCCTCCAACAAGGCTCCCCCGCCCACTAGCTTTGGACCCCACAACTATTCACCTTAACAAGGCTCCTCCGCTTACTAGCCTTGGGCCCTGGAAGTACTCACCCTGGCAACAAGGCTCCTGTGCCCGCTAGCTTTGGCCCTTGGAAGTACTCACCCCCTCAGCAAGGCTCCTCCGGCCCACTGGCTTTGACCCCCGGAAGTACGCACCCCTCCAACAAGGCTCCCCCCTCCCACTAGCCTCGGCCCCAGGAAGTACTCATCCCTCCAACAAGGCTCCCCCGCCCACTAGCTTTGGACCCCACAAGTATTCACCTT